TATATATATATACATACATATATATATGTGTGTGTGTGTATATACACATATATATGTGTATATATATGTGTATATATATGTGTGTATACATATATATATATATACACATTTTTTTTTTGCTTAAGTAGTTCTCACATTCACCTGTTAAATTTCAACTGCTATCACACTGAACTTCTCTCATCTGCCATTTAATTTTAACACAATTAAAACTATTCTAGGTAAGGTATCACTTCATTCAGAGCCGTGTTTATTATTTCACTGATCCTTTTCCTGTAAGGGATTTAAGGCAAAAAACATGCACAACATGCTGTTTTCGTTAATGAAACCCCATCTACCGTTACATCTCAGTGTAACCTGTGCTAGATAACTGTGAGTTCAAGACCCAGCTGACCACACCGGGCCACGTTTTCACTCTACCCCTTGAGTTTTATTCAGTCAGCCTGAGCCCAGAAATAGTAATTCAAATGTCTATCACTTGTAATACAAAAATAGCTCCTTTTTTTTTTTCCAAGATCTGCAATCAGAGGCAACTGAATTAATCAGAGTTTTAAGGATGGCTGCTAAAATAATCTTCACTTAAAAAAGACACTTTCCTGGATTAAGGGAAGGTCAGAAAGGAAATTCGTTAGCCTAAAAATGGACACAATTAAAGCTAATGGAGGAAATATTATCTTCCAAATAGGGTATTTTCTTTTTTTTTTTTTTTAAATTCAACGCGCTTTATTTTTGGGACAGAGAGAGACAGAGCATGAACGGGAGGGCAGAGAGAGAGGGAGACACAGAATCGAAACAGGCTCCAGGCTCTGGACATCAGCCCAGAGCCCGACAAAGGCTCGAACTCACGGACCGCGAGATCGTGACCTGGCTGAAGTCGGACGCTTAACCGACTGCGCCACCCAGGCGCCCCAAATAGGGTATTTTCTAAAGAAATGGTTTGGAAAGAATCCGTATCTGCCGTGTTCCAATTATTCTTAGAATGTAACAGATGAGCAGGATGAGGAGGGGTTTACTGTCACCCAGGACTGATGATCACACTCAGTTTTTCTTCCTGAGGTCTTGCCCGAGACTCTAGGCCAGGCAGAAAAAGAGTACCCCCAGTTCTCCCAACCATCTTCCAAATGTTTATTCGCAGGACACAATGGGCACTTTGGCTATTCTTTTAAATAAACTGATAGCCATACTGTATCAATCAGATTTTTTTTCTGCTAAAGAGGGTGGATTATTATTATAGAGAACAATGGATTATTATTTGTGGCCCAAACCTCAAAACAAACCCTTCTTTCAAACAAGAAGCAAACAAAAGATGTTCCTTGCCTTTGTGGGTAGGCAGAAAACCAGCCCCAGGGCATCTGAGTTCAAAACGAGGGACAAAGCACAAGACCAGAAGATCTGACCAGCTTTTCCAGGAAGCAGTGTTGGCTTATAACCCTTATTTATGCTGCGTGATTTTGACTAGTTTTCTCCACAGTGGCAAGCGCTACAAGGAAAGCCAGTCTGCAAAGTCAATAAATAAGTCTCCTCAGGGTTTTCTCAAAGTCAGATCCCTGCCTCAAGGCTGGCCTGCAAAATCTGGTCGGTACCAGAGAGGTTATTTAAAGATGTTTCAGTTTACAGTCACGGAATTTTGGCCGAAAAGACTAACCAAATCCCTAAAGTGGCTTTTAGACAATTGATCTGAGACAGACTTAACTACACCAGAGCTGGTTAATATACAAGTGACTTAAAAAAACAAAAACAAAAACAAAAACAAAAACCCTCACTCTTTGGCTCATTTGCACAGGCAGCTGTTACAGCCAGGGTTATGGATTCCAACTCTGGCCAATCAGCTGTTCCAAAAGAACAAAATGGCTCCATGCACAGCTAGTTAGCATCCTCTGATCCCTGACTCTCTCTCTCTCTCTCTCTCTCTCTCTCTCTTTCCAGCTGTCCTAGTTCTTGGAGATCCCAACTAGTCATAAAATGAACTTCCCAAAGCCCTGGTCTCTTTGTTGATCTTCTCTTCTACAAAAATGTTACCCTCAGGCCTGTCCCAGCCCCCCATTCTCACATCCCACCCTCGGCCAGGGCTTCTCCGCCTTAGCACTACTGACAACTGGGCTGGATTGTTCTCTGCTCAGGTCTGTTCTATGCATCGCAGGATGTTCAGCAGGGTCCCTGGCCTCTACCAGATGTCAGTGGAATCTTCTCCCCTTCCAGCTGTGGCAACCAAAAAGGTCCCCAGACATTGAAACATCCTCTCAGGGGCCAAGTTACCGTGGCTGAGAATCAGTGCTCCAGACCCTACCAATACGAGCACCCGCTCCACAATCTCAAGCTTCTCTGCTCTCTGACGGCCTCCTCCTGTCTTTCCGGACCACTTACTCTGCTGATCCTTCAGCCGCATCAGAACCTAAGATCTGTCACCCTCCCCCGCCCCCCCCAGAGGACCACTTCATACCCTTCTCTCTCGCCTGGACTCTCCGCTAAGGTCTGTGCTTCCTAGTTCACTGAGAAAACAAGCAAACCTGAAGGCAACTTCCTCGCGTCCCTCGCTCCCCGCAGCAACGCCCCGTGCTCCGTGTTTCCTCTGCTACCGCGTCCGAAAGGTCTGCACCTCTCCTCGGGGCCGGTCCCTGCTCGGGGCACAGGACCCCATCTTCTCTCGCCTAACCAAGGATGTTAATCCAGCAATCCTCCCTCTTTCTCCTGAAGTTCTCACTCTCAACTGAATTACTGCCACCGGCCATATAAATACCTATATTTATATCCCAGGTTTAGGGGGAGAAACATCTTGACCCTGCATCTCATTTGAAAGAACTGTATATATTCACCGTGTGCAGTTTCTCTCCTCCCATATTCTCTCCCTTTTTTTTTTTAACTTCTTTTAAGTTTATTTGAGAGAGAGACAGAGAAAGAGTGCAAGCACACATGGGGGAGGGGCAGAGAAAGAGGGAGAAAGGAGAATCCCAAGCAGGATGCGGGGCTCGATCTCACGAACCGTGAGGTCATGACCTGCGTTGAAATCAAGAGCTGGACGCTTAACCCACTGAGCCACCCAGCCACCCCCTCCCATATTTTCTTGAATAAACCCAATCGAGGCTTTTA